ATACTCTAAAAGACTGTCTAAATCAAACTGCTCTTGATTTTTTATTAAATTCTTTATATTTTCATACAAATTACTTCATTCTTGTTTGGTAATTTCTATTATAGAATAAATGCGATCTTGTTGGTTAGTAAATTTTTTATTTAATATTCTTTTTAATACCTCATTTTTACTTAATAATTGCTTATTATTTTCTTCTAACTCATCAATTCTTCTTTGAAGAATTTTACAAATTGGATCTGAAAATAATGCTTGAGATCCAAAGTCAATACAAGTTTTTTTAGCTAAATCAACTTGAGCACCAAAATTGACAAAAATTTTTTCAAGCAAATCAATCTGAATACCAAAATCGACGAAGGTTTTTTCAGACAAATCAGGCAAATCAACCTGAGTGCCAAAATCGACAAAGGTTTTTTCAGAGGATTGCTACTCATCACCTTCATTAGAAACCTTTAATTTTTTTTCTTGGGTCTACCTAAGATAGAAAAGAGTATCAGTTTTCTTAAATTGATTAATAAATAATTTTTAATGACAACCCAGTTATAATGCCCTTCACACATAGAATAACTCTTCATAGAATCAAGATATGAAATTAATTCAGGAAAATACTTAGCCATTTTTGCTATTCTCTTTGTTGCTGTAGCGGCAAACACATTTCGCTACTTCTCTTCTCTACATCTACTGTCTAGGTGTTTTATAGCAAAAAAAGCGAAAAAAACAGGGCAGATCTTTGGCTTCAGGTTTTGAATTCATGGTTAACCAATATATGAAAATATGTAATTTAAATTTCAATTTGTGAAAAAACTAGTTTGTAAGCCTTAGAGATCACTGGGGATTCTAAAAGTATGTGCTAAAAAATATATACTTCAATAGTTAGTTTGAGTTTTATTATATATTCATTATGTATTAGATCAACAAAATACTGTGAATCTTTTTTATAATAGGATTATCAAACATTAATTGCATTTCGAAGCATGATCGTAGACTATTCTAAAAACAATCTACAAAATTTAAAAAATCACTGACTATTATTGATTATGCATATAATGCTTAATTCTGATTGGTTAATCAAATTACATATATTTTTTATATATGCACACCCTCTCCAAATGCATATCTATCCTTGGTCCTAAGAG